CTATACTAGGGTTGTTAATAGGAAGGATAATAGTAACACACAGATGGTTTTTTTAAAGATTTTATTGTGGTAAAATATATATAGCATAAAATTTGCCATTTTAACCATTTTTAAGTGTACAATTCAGTGGCATTAATTAGACTCACAATATTCTGCAACCATCACCACTATCCACTTCCAAAACTTTACATCATCCCAAACAGAAATTCTGCACCATTAAGTAATAACTCCCCATTCCCTTCCACCTCCATATATTTTTGACCCATGAATAAATATAAAAATCTTAGAGGCTAGTATTTGCATTTATCTATCCTTAGTGAATACTTTTCTTTAAAATCTTCCTGGAAGAAAATTAAAGACTTTGGCACTGGGTTCATATAATACTGATCAGAAGAAGAGGGAAGAGAGAGGAGTCACATAGAGACAGTGTGTCTCCCATTACCCAAGGATGTGGAGTGCCAAGGGAGTGGGCACAAAGGTAGCAGCTGGAGATGACAGCTAGAGTGGTTGGGAGATTGGTTACATTAAGCAAATTAAAAAATTGATTGAGAAAATAAGTAATTATATTGAGGATGATAAAAGTCAGGTTTCTCACTGTAAGAGAAGATAATTTACAAACATGGAAAGGGAGAAGGCTAGAAAAAACCCAGAGGTGTTGAGTTGGAATTGAAGGTATGGCTCTGGATCTGTTTATATATACACATATATATGCAAATATAGACACAGTTATACATGTGTGTATGTGTGTACACATTTGTTGTTGTTGTTAGCTGCCATCGAGTCAGCTCTGACTCATGGCAACCCCAAGAATAACAGAATAAAATGGTGCCCAGTCCTATGCCATCTTCATGATTATCCGTATGTTTGAGTCCACTGTTTTGGTTATTGTGGTTAACCCATCGCATTGAGGGTTTCCCTCGTTTTTGTTGGCCCTCTACTTTACCAAACACAATGTACTTTTCTAGCCATTGGTCTTTCCTGATGATGTGTCCAAAGTAAGTGAGCCAAAGTCTCACCATTCTTGCTTCTAGGAAACACTCTGGTAGTATTTCTTCTAAGACTGATTTGTTTGTTCTTCCGGCAGTCCACAGTATATTCGATATTCTTTGCTACACCACAGTTCTAATGCATCAATTCTTCTTTTGTCTTCCTTTTTCATTGTCCAGCATGCATGAGATGATTGAAAATACATTTTTGATTTTCAAAACTTTAAAGAGGTCTTTTGCTGCAGATTTGATTCCTTGACTGCTGCTTCCATGGATGTTGATTGTTGATTTCAGAAAAATGAAATAATTGACTTCTATTTCTTCTTCATTTATCACGATGTTGTTTATTGGTCCAGTTGTAAGAATTTTCATTTTCTTCATGTTCAGGTGTAATCCATACTGAAGGATGTAGTCTTTGACCTTCATCAGTAAGTGTTTCAAGTCATCCTCATTTTTGGCAAGCAAGGTTGTATCATCTGCATATCTCAGGTTGTTAATGAGTCTTTCTCCAATCCTGACACTGTGTTCTTCTTCATGTAGTCCAGCTTCTCAGATTATTTGTTCAGCATACAGACTGAATAAGTAAGGTGAAAGGATAAACCCTGCTGTACACCTTTTCCAATTCTAAACCACACAGTATGCCCTTGTTCTGTTTGAACGACCGTGTCTTGGACCATGCAGAGGCTCCACATGAGTGCAATTAAGTGCTCTGGAATTCCCATTCTTTGCAATGTTATAAATTTGTTATGATCCATACAGGGGATCCACATTGACTATGTGGATGTGTATGGATATACATACATACATTTCCTAGCCTGTGTCCATTGAGAGGTCCTAGAAGCAATGACACGCTAGTAGCAATAAGCACACTGAGTGCCCAAATCTTGGTTTCTAAATACCATCCTCTGCTAAAAAGAACCAGGACTCTTTAGAGAAATAGTTGATTCCGAGTATAGGGCAAGGAGAGTATAAAACAAGCCTGGGACAACTTGTGCCAAAGGAAAAATGAAAAGAATGATGAGGAGATATCAAAAGGATTCAGGAGTCAGCTTGCAGGAGCTCTCACTGACCAAATCTGGGTCAACTTGAACATCAAAATAAATAATAGAAACAGAATACTACCCATGAATAAAATAGAAATCCATGGGACTTTACTGATAAAAATGAATGAATGAATAAAAAATAAATGGAGAAGGGAAATCTCTCCCTCACAGTAGAGTGCCAACTAATAAATGCAGAAGAAATGTTGGAAGTAAAAAAACAAAAAATTACTACTTGGCAACAACCATAGTGAGTCAGGCAGAAAAAGTCACTGATGGAGATTAAGGTTGGCAGAAATTTGACAAAAAACAAGATAATCGTGTAACCTCGGAATGTCTCCCTACAAAATACTAATCAGTTGACAAACAGAAAAATAGTAGCTTTATTACAGTAGAGAAACCTAGCAGACAGCAACACAGCCAGGAACCAAGATTAACATCACCAGTGATGAGATGGCTGAAATCCTGTGCCTCCCAATGCCATACGCCAGGAAGAACCCAGCATGATTTTTGTGGTCTGCCTGTCAGGAGACCACCACCTGAGCCTGGCTTTGAGGAAATACTGGAGGGAACCTGGACTGAGGGTCATATTATAGAACGGAAGGCCTGTGCCTTTCAATAAAGGCCAGCAAGGACAGAAAAGACCAAGGGGGCTACTCCAGCATGGAGGAGACTGAATTAGTGCTGCTATAACAGAAATACCAAAGTGGATGGCTTTAACAAGGAGAAATTCATTTTCTCACAGTCTAGTAGGCTAAAAGTCCAAATTCAGGGCATCAGCTCCAGGGGAAGGCTTTCTCTCCCTGTCGGCCTTCTCATCAATCTTCCCCCAGACTAGGAGCTTCTCCACGCAGGGACCCCGTGTCCAAAGAACGCGTTCTGCTCCCGGCACTGCTTTCTTGGTGGTATAAGGGCCCCACTTTCTGCTTGCTTCCCTTTCCTTTTATCTCTTATAAGATAAAAAGTGGTGCAGGCCACAGCCCAGGGAAATTCCCTTTACACTGGATCAGGGATGTGACCTTAGTATGGGTGCTACATTCTCACCCTAATCCTCTTTAACATAAAATTACAATCACAAAATGGAGGACAACCACACAATACTGGGAACCATGGCCCAGCCAAATTGATATGTATTTTTTGGAGGACATAATCCAATCCATGACCGGGTCATATTATAGAATGGAAGGCTTGTGCCTTTTAATAAAGGCTGCCAAGGATAGGGAAGACCAAGGGGCTACTCCAGCATGGAGGAGACTGAATGTGTGATCCTCTATGGGATTTTTGTTGTTGTGGTTGTGTGCCATTGATTCTGACTCATAGTGACTCTATGTAACAGAGTAGAACTGCCCTATAGAGCTTTCTTGGCTGTAATCTTTATGGAAACAGATTTCTAGGTCTTTCTTCCGCAAAGCTGCTGGGTGGGTTCGAACCACCAGCCTTTAGGTTAGCAGCCCAGTGCTAAACTCCTGGGCCACCAGGGCTCTGGGCCCTAAAGGAAAAAAGAGACAATGTTGAGGCAGTTGAGGAAATCTAAATGGGGGCTATAGATTGTACCTTAGAATTGTCTCAGTGTTGATTTTCTGACTTCCATGGCTGGACAGTGGCTATGTAGCACAGCGACTGTTTTTGGGAAATACATGCTGGCGTGTTTAGGGGTGATGGGGCATCATGTCTACAGCTTGCTCTCAAATGGTTCAGAAAAAGATTAATGACAATGGGTGTATACACGTATGTTTTTATAGAAAAGGAAGAGTGCGACGGAGCAAATAATGTGAAACGTTAATAACTGGGGAATATAAGTGACAGGAATATAGAAATTTTCTGTACTATTCTTACAATTTTTAACCAAGTTTAAAATTACTGCAGAATGAACTATTTTTAAAAATAGATGTTTTCTTTCATACTCCAGGATAACACCAGACCCCCTCCAAGCACTGCCTGATGCTTAGAAGGGGAGGAGGGTCCTCAGGGCAGGGAAGACCTCTAGGTCCAGCTAGTCCGGCCTTCCCACCTCAGGACCCTGGTCTCTACCATTGTGGCCACCTGCGTTTCTCTGCACTAGCGGGATAAAACCTATAAACCCTGTGTCTCCTTTGGGTCCCCTTGTGTACTCACTCCCCAGGACTCCTTTCCAAATGCCACAGACCCCTCATACCCTGTCATAGTTCCCCAGGTGGTCCTTGTCATGTCCCGGGGAGTGTGACATCTGCCAGGCGTCCTCTCCAATGACCCGCTTTCCAGCTGCGCTGCGGTGCTGAGCTCCCGCCACGAGGGACGTGAATGAATGAAGGTGTGGAGAAGGCTGCAGCCCCATCTCTGCGAGGCGTCGTAGCTTACTATTGCAGCTCCAGGGCGCCCACTTGGCTGAGGATCGACGGGCTAACTCAGGGTGCTCCCGTCTGCTGTGCGGGGGCCCCAAGCTCCCCCGACAGCGGCCAGCGTCGCCCCTTTGCCCACACAGACTCAGCTTTCCCAGGCAACGCGGCCGGCCGAGGTGCGCCTGCGATGCGCCGTCTCACTGTGATTCAGCAGCACCTCGCGGGCATTATCAGAGCGCCAGCTCGGAGAAACTGCCAGACTTTTCGAGGAGGTGGGCGGAGCGTCGGGGAGAGGGCGGGGCCACAGGGCAGCTGCGGGGCGGGATTGGCCGGCTGGACAGCGCGTCATCGGGGCGCGCCGGGAATGAGCGGGCTGCGGCGGCGCTCTGACGGGGCCGCTGGGGGATAAATGGTGGGGTGCTGGTTGCTTCGAGATGCTGTGCTTCCCTGTGGGCTCAGCCCGGCTTCGGCCTTTGCACAAGTCCTGTCCCTGTCGTCCTTTTTGCCTTGTTCCCAAGGGCTGGCATCGACGAAGGAAGCCCGCTTTTCCGTCTCCGCCTTCCGCTAGCCTTCCCAGCTGCCCGTGTCTCCGACGACAGCCAGGTACGGGGTCGGCCTGGGGTCGGGGAAGAGCCGAGGGGCATGTGAAGGCGTGTTAAAGCATGATGCAGATGTTAATCGCGGTTGTAAACCTAGTTAGCCTAAAGACATCCGTACTTCCTCTTTTTTTCGGCTCCCGGCTTCGTACATATAGGGCATTTATGTCATGGCAAAATAATCCTATAGGTCGGGTGTTTTCAGACTACTGCTGTGGTGTCAAGAACAAAATCATTTCGGGGTTGACATTAGATTCCGGTCAATCCCTTGAACAGAAATTTGAGGGACGCCTACTCTGTCATGCTCTGCGCTGTGCCTTTCTGGTGCAGCGATGGGCAACACCGACATGGTCGCTAGACGGCACGGAGCTCATAGTGAAGTAAGCTAGTTGGAAACTGTGAGTAGGTGCACGAAAGGAATGACGGGATCTTTTGAGAGTAGAGAGTGTGTAACCTACATGGGAGGTGGTGAGGGGTTAGGAAAGCCTTTTTGAGGAAGGAACACGTAAACGGGGAACTGAAGAGAGAAGTAGATGTTAGCTGGGGGGAAGAGTATGCTAGGCGGCAGGTTCCCAGCAGAGTGGAGAGAGCTGATGGGAAGATTCGAGAAAGTCCCTTGGACTTGAATTCTGGGAGGGAGAAGAGGCTTGAGAGGTTTGGTGGGCACCACGTTATGGAGGCACCTTGTGAATCCAGTAACTTCACCAGTTGTCTACCTGTTTTTCATGGTGAGTTAACAATTTGCTGCTCTCCCTAATCAACTCCAGGTTGATGTCATTAAGGAATAGAGGCAAAGTAAAACTTAATGCTTGAGGGAGTTAGAGCAGCAAGGGATGGAGTTAAATCTCCTATGGATAGTGTTGTCAGTTAATGTGATCTAGCACCTAGTAACAGAGGCACGTTTGTATATGTCAACAAGTGTATTTAATAGATGAAATTGTGCCTTAAAATTCCCCGAGGTTGTAATTTCATTGGCAGCTGTGTAAATAGAATATGAGAGGCCCCAGCCAATATGAGTTGAAGTAATGATTTAATGAAGACCTGAAATTGGGGTGAGTTTCGTAAACTAGGAATTAAAAGGATGGAAAAACAATGTGTTTCATAATAGTGTTGATTCTGAATGGCCGAGAACCTGGTACATCTGCTAAAATTCATGTTTTTCTTTTTGCTGAAAAACAGCAGAATTGGTGGTGCTTTAGTCTTTTCTTGGGTGTAGGATGCCTTAGCCATGGAAGCCCTTGGGAGCATGTTTGTTTACTTGCATTAGCTGTAAATTATAAATCCCAATCGCTAAAATCCGGGTAGTCATTGCTTTCCTTCTAACCACTCTCATTCTTGTAGGTGACATTGAAATCTGCCAGCTGTTTTTTGAACACCTCTCTCAAAATGGAGTTCCCTGATTTGGGGAAGCATTGTTCAGAAAAAACTTGCAAGCAGCTAGGTAAGCTATTTTAAGAGATTATCAATAGTAAATGAGTATTTTGTTGGCTATTTTGTGGAGGAAAACTGGATATTTCACTAATTAGCTGATAATTCTCTGTCTTGGCCTTTCTTGCTTTTAGTATTGGGCACCTGGCGTGAGGTCCAGGCTCTGTTCAGCATTGTATTTAGCATCCCCCTAATGCCAGGTACTAGGCCAGCTGCCAAGGCTAAATGGATACAAGTGTGCTTTTTAAATAGGTGTGATGCTATATGAGGTGCGATGTCTCTTGAAAAGATAGCTTTATAGATTCTTACATGTTGTTTGGCATTGTGAAATTCATGACCCCAAAGTTTTTTCCCTGCTCACTTGTGATTCCTTGAGGATGTATCAAGTTAATAGTTATGAAGCATTTAATATATGGAACTACCTTCTTAGTATGATCTGCAATCCTTTTGTTCTAGTCTTTAAAACAATTTTCTCTATTTTTTTGTTTAGATTTTCTGCCAGTAACGTGTGATGCATGTAAACAAGATTTCTGTAAAGATCATTTTACATTTGCTGCACATGAGTGTCCCTTTGCGTTCAAGAAGGTAACTCTTCATACTCTGTTCAGAAGATTCTGACCTTCACTCCTGAAAGCTGTGCTATCCAACAGTGTAGCTGTGTGTGGCTATTTAATTACGTGAAATTAAAAATTAATTTCTCAGTTGCACTGGTGACATTTCAGGTGTTGAGTGGTGTAAAAATGGCATGGGGGCAGTGTCTGACCTCCTCCAACCCTGCAAGGGGGAAGGAGAACTGGATCAAGTCTCCCAAGGCTGACTCCCATGAGGTGGAGGCCAGACAAGCCTCCTCTCTCCACCATCTTTGCTATTTCTGACACCAGCTGTCCTTCTCACAGCACTCTCTACGTTTCTCCTGGGTTCGATAATTCATTGCATTGGCCACACAGGACTCACACACCATACTCACAATTATGGGGTTTATTAGAGAAGTAACAGTTACAGTTCAGGCTCAAGAACATTCAGGATACAGTTCTTCCATCAGGATAGCCTCTCCCTAGCTATGCTCACAGGCTTCTGCCCGAAGGCACTTAACTTTCTGTGCACTGGGAAGCCCACTGCCCCATCTCCTGTTGCTGGTCTCTCCTTTGGTGGTGGTAGGCTGCTCCCCTCTGCTCTGGAATTGGCTCTCTTTTAAGGCAGAACTGAGCAATCCCCTTGGTAGGCCATAATTACCTTATCACACAGTCACCTGGGTGGGAGTTACAAGACCATGGCTAGAAAGGCCACACAAATGTAACCAATCATACCACAGGTAGCCAGTGACTACCCTACTGGGCAGCCTGGGCCTAGAACATTCCATCCTCACAGAAGGTTATTTTGGCCAGCATGACTTGACAGCAGTAGAGATTTTGTTTTGTGCTGTTTTACTCGGGGACTCGTGGAGTCAAATTGTTGATGTAACCTAATTTTCAAAGCTTACTTCTTTACATGTTAAAATTCTTGATTTCTTTGATTCATTACTCCACGGAAAAGCACAGCTATCTCTCCATGTGACTCAGGAAATGGCTTAATCCTTGACGTAAAGTCTGACCAGGAAGTTGTTAGGATGCTTACTCATCCTGGTAACTCTGCAGCCCTGACTCATGTGTAGATGATTCAGGTAGAATGCACTAGAAACTGGAAAACAACTCTAAGAAAACTAACTTCATAAGTGCAAAAGTCAAAGACTTTGTTCCTGACTTTCAAGTGGCCCTGGCCTGTCGTTTGTGTCTCTGATGGCTGTCAGATGACTTCAGTATCAGCCCTCGGCGCCTTTACCATGGTTGCTAGAAAAGTGGGTGACTTAGCGTTACTGTGCTTTGATCGGTGTTGGCCAGCATGCTATACTTCAGCTTTTTCTAGTCTGGAACATGTTGGGCATGTGGTACACATTACCTAGTTTGCCCAGGGACTGACCAGGCCACACCACCCATGTCCCCAGATGCGGAGAATCTGGCTAGAGGTGATTTAGGAACACAGAAACTGATTCTTAGTTAGCAAACTAGCTGATTGAGAGAGTGCCACCTGGTGGCTCTTCCGCCCCAGGCAACAGCTCCCACAGCTCAGTGACTGTCTTCCACCCTGATGGCAATGGCGGCTGCCCCTCATCTTCCTCAACATTTCCCAGCCCCTGCCCTGGGCGTGGAGCCCTGGTGGCGAAGTGGTTAAGCATTCAGCTGCTAACCAGAAGGCTGGCAGTTTGAATCCACCAGCTGCTCCTTGGAAACCATATGGGGCAGTTCTATTCAGTCCTATAGAGTGACTATGAGTTGGAATCGACTCGACAGCAACAGGTTTTTTACGGCCCTGGGTGTCTCGTAGGTTGGCCCTCAAAGCCCTGGGTCCTGGGCTTGCCCTCGGCCTAGGTGTGGCCAGTGCAGTGACCTCCCTCCCTGAGGGCCCACCAGTGAGTTCCCTCCTGGTGTCAGCCACACAGGAAGCTGCACAGGACCAGAGAGGCTGCTGGCAATTGAAGGGGGCTGGATGGCCTCTGTGGCAGGTGTTTTCCTCTGTTGTCTCCCCTTTGTGGTATTTGGACAGGTTCCCCTCTTGTCAGGATGGTGCCAGAGGACAGCCCTGTTTTCCTGAGACTGGCCCTGTCTGTCTTTACCAGCCCCCCCGCCCCTTGCTGCCTTTTTACTGACCATTTTGGGGTTGCTTCTGTGGTTGGTTGATAGTCTGTTCATTTAAATTCCACTTAGATTTAACCTGAGGCGACTTTGTATTCAAGCTCTCAGGGTCCCCTGCTGTCAACCCGTTGCACTAACAACACTGGTTCTCTTGAGTGGTCAGAGCGGCAGTGTTTGTGCTGTCTGTACATGCACTGCACCATCTTCCCTTTTCTTGGAGAAATGTTTTGGTGGTCTGACTCTGGAATGTCACCTTATGTTCCACACGTATAGGATATTCAGGTCCCGGTGTGCCCACTCTGTAACAGCCCTGTCCCAGTGAAGAAGGGGGAGCTTCCTGATGTGGTGGTTGGAGAGCACATGGACCAGGACTGCAAGTCCAACCCTGGGAGGAGTCATGAGAAGGTGAGTGGAAAGTCTGAAAATTCTGCAAAGTGTTGTTTCCTTAGCGGGGAAAAGGGATCAATGATCTGTGAAAATTGGTCCTCATAGTTCATGTACAAAGTAAAAACCCAGTGATGTGTGGATGTTCCTCTGTGTTGTGAGGTATATAAAAACAGTCTTAAACGTCAGGGGTCCTAGATGAGGGTCTCCTTGATTTGGAGGAATTTGCCCATTTTCTCCCAAGATGAAGAGTTAGACCCAGTTTTCTAGAATTGTCATTATGCGTTTGTTTTCTCAGCTCCTCTTAGGATAATGCAAAAGGGTGTGAAATTGGAATGTTCAGTCTCTTGCTTTGGGAACTTTCATTTTTTATTCAAGTTGCACATCTGATAGTTTGGAGTCAACTACGTGAGGGAAAACGATCCCTGTGCCCTGCAGGCAACCAACGCCTAACAGTTTTGTTTGTTTATTTGTATCTGCTTTTTTTCTAAATGTGTGTATGTTACATCTGTCTTGTCTACCCTTCAGTTTTAGGCACTACCTGGTGACCACAGTGTAAGTCAAAGCCTTAGCTCTTGCCCCTATTCCAGCATCATGCCCGCAGACTCCCCCTCTTTCCTGCCCCCTCCTTCTTCAGCACCGTCCTTCTGCCCACTGCCCCCACTGCTGTGCCTCCCTGGGCCCGGGAGCTTCTTCCTGACCCTCTCTGGAGCACACACCTACAGCCTTCACTGTGCGCTGTACTTCCTCCTGCTGTGGTCCCCCTTCCCTGGGTCTCTGATTCTCCCAGCCCCAGAGCCTCCCTACAGCTCACACTCTGGTTTCTCCTACCCACCAAGCATCACTGCTTGTCCTCATGCTGGTCAGTTTCTAAAACCTTGTTGCTGTTTTCCTTTTATTCTTCACCCTTGTAGATTCATGCCTTTTAGAAACTCGTTTTCTGTCATTTTTGTAGGGTTTCAGGAGGGGACAGAGCCAATCTATGGGGTCAGTTCTCCACCCTGCACTAGATGTCCAAGGAAACTGAACCTCTGACCAATATTGGACGTTGCCGTCTGTAGGTTGCATGTGGCGGTTGGTTCTGTCCCCGGACTACAGGTCTCTAGGCCTCTCTGGCTGCTCTGCAGCTGGCCTTCCCCAGGGTCTCCCTCTTGGTCTCAGGCTCTTTCTAAGGGAGCTGCTTCCCCCTCCACCAGCCCTCCAGAACATGCATGTGGGCATTCTTGCCTTTTTAAAGGGCTTTTCCTGTAGGGAATTAGCTTAAATCACCGTTTCCAGCCATGGACCTGGTTTGTAGTTATCAAGTACCTTAATCAAGGCCTGTAAATGCCTCTGTTTTTTAAGCTCAAATAGGAGGGAGTGAAATCTGTGTTCCTTAGCCTATCACACAAAACCCTTTACGAGAAAACTTGCTCCAAGCTCCCTTTCTAACCCTGTTTTCTCCACACGAGTTTGCTGTACACCCTTCCCTTTGCCCTCCAGGCTCTCGAGAAGGCCTTTTACAACTCCTCTGTCTTCATACAAGACTGCAGCTCTACCCACCCCTTCTCGCCCATGCTTTCCTTCCCCAGCAAGGTCCTCCTTATCCTTGGCACAAGTTACCGCTGAGGTCCTTCCCACCCCCGTCCCACCCCACCAGCATAGGTGCTCCCTCCTTTGTGCTCCAGGCCCCCTGTGCAGATGCCATCAGTGCTCTGCTGTGCCCCTCATGTCTCCACACTGCCTTCAGGGATACTGGTTTCTGCTGGGCAGTCACTTGCAGCAGCCAGCACCTGCCTGTCTTTGCCTGAGGGCCCTCCTGCTGCTGGGACATCCCCCTTCCTTACATTCTTAGCTTCACAGCCAGAACTACCTGGGCATTACCTCCCCCCATGACTGATGAGCGCAGGGGATACAGACAGATGTTCTCACTCTGTTGTTCTCTGTGGGACGTGGTAGCACACCCTCATCTACCCCAGTTCCCCCCACTCCCTCCCAGGTCCCTCGAAGCTCCTTCCTCCCCCTTGTCTTGTGTTTTGTTTTGTTTTTCCCCCTGGGAGCCCTTCCAGTCATATGAATCCCTTTTTGAGGATCTGCTTCTGGGGCCCCAACTGAATATACCGCCTTTATATTGATCACTTGTTAAAAATTTTTTTTTTATGTCTTTTTAGCTAGTATTCATCTTACCTGACACTAAAACGTTTAAGTGATTCCTTGGCATCTTCACTCTGTGTAGATAAGAGTGATTTTTAGTTTAAATAAAATGATCTTGTTAAGTAAGTGCTTGTAATGCTTGTTTTCTTAGATTTTTACATACCGGTGCTCAAAAGAAGGATGCAAGAGAAAAGAGATGCTGCAGGTGGTCTGCGACGAGTGTCACAGTAACTTCTGCATCCGACACAGACACCCTCTGGACCACGGCTGCAAGCAAAGAGGCTGCCCCCACCAGCAGAGCCGGGTAAGAACATATTGCCAGCTGCTGGAGGGCTGATTTAAGACACAGGAAAATAATTTAAACTCCAAGGCGGGGAGTGAAACAGCTTTGAGCACTGTCCTATACTAAGTTACAGACTTTAAATATTTGTTGTAGAGGTTTGGATGAACGTAATCTTAACTTAGATAACATTTGATTTGAGTCTCTCAGATAACCGTTTAATTTTCATCTGTGCCTAATTAATGAAAGAGCCAGGTGTGGTTAAATAGGAAATGGCACATTCACCTAAAGCACAATAAAAAAAAAAAAAAGAAAGAAAAGGCCTGCAAGCTGGGTCCTGGGCAGCTGAAGCTGACATATCTCGTGGGGTTGGGGAGCCCAGAGAAGGGCACAGAATTTATCTAACTTTCCCCCGTGGTTAGATTTTTAGGATGCCTCCTATTTTTGCACCCCCTTGTGATCTTTACTCACGTCCAGCATTGTTCTGGAGGCAAGGTCTTCCAGAGCCTGCCGGTTTCTTAAGCTGTTGATAACACACATCGCCAATGGCTCTTTGAAATATTCCTTCTAGGAATGTCTTCAAGTGCCATTCCCCAAATCCTGGCCACCTCTGGGGGTGTTTTTATTTTTTTCTTTCATATCTGTTCTTTTGATAGATGAAGGATGATACCTTGCTGCTTTAATCAGCACTTCTTTGATTACTAGTAAATTGAACATTTTTTCATGTTTGTTAACAACAAAAAAGGAGATGGGTTCAGGGTGGCTTTGTTGGATTGCCTGGTCTGGGCTGAAAACAAATTGAGGGTTCGAGTAAAGCTGGAAAGATTAATAAAGTTGGATTTTGGTGTTATTAACCAAGAGTGCCTTTGTTAAGTTAATGGCAACATCTACCTCACACTTGCTATTGGATAAAAAATGGAAGCTTAAGCCTCCTTTTAATTGTGTTTTGTTGTTCCTTGTATTGTTCCTACCTGAGCCAGGCTGGGCACCAGCGGCCCTAACTATAAATCAGTGTCTGGGTTTCTTGGTGAGTGAGTGCAGGGTAGGACAGTATTGATCTGGCCCTTCCATAGGTGTTCAGCTGCGGGAGTTCCTGAGTCCAAGCCCTCGGGAGCACTGACCACACTGTCTCCCAGCTGGCTGGCGCAGCGACTCAGGTATTGAGGTGGCTACGCAGGGTAGCAGTTCTCTGCTCCAGTAGTGAGTGTTGACAAGTCTTCATAGTGCAATGCATGGCTGACCTTGCATGCCCTGGTGTTGCATAACTTACGCATGAGGAAGTTATGATCTGGAACCCCAAATTATAGATGTATTTCATTCGAGCACAAGGTGTAATCAGGCAGTAACATTTTATAGCTGCTTTCTGAAAGATCTTATTTGACTTTAAGAGCTAAATCTAAAAAGCCAACAACGCTTTTGTTCTCTTCCAGGTGGAAAGTAAGGCGATGACACCAACGACTGCCCCTCAGCCGGCACATTAACTTAGTGTATGCTACTGTAACTCCGTAGGTAACGTTTATACTCGAGTACTTTCATAGTGCTCCTGGTAAACAGTCAGAAACTTTATTAAAACTATTTAATAAAATGTTCTGTCAAAAGAGTTTGTATAAACAATCAGAAGAGCATTAAGTGATATTCCAAGGTGGGCTAACCTGATGATAAAACAACCTCTTTCCCCCCTGCCCAAAATAATAAAATACAATAAAGCAGCTGAAAGAACGAAGCATCTGCCAGATGGGAGGATGGTTCTGTTGTGGGCCAAGTTGGTCAGGTACCCTGCCTGGTTGCAGCTCTGTCTTCAGCATGTGGTTCCATAGTGGTTGTGGCCATCCGAGCCCAGGGAAGGGACAGGGAGTGTCGTGCCTCCTTGTTAAGGTCTGGAAGTGGCCCACCATTCTTCCACTCACTTCCACTGGAGGCAACATAGTCATGTGACAAGGGAGGCTGAGGATTTGCACAAGTTCCCGGGTAATGCTGATGCTGCAGGTCTAGGGACTACACTTGGATATATCACTTCTGAATCTGTGCAGTCCAGTATGGTGGCCACTGGCTACATGTACTATACAGCACATGAAATGTACCTAGCGCAACTAGGAACTGCATTTTAAATTTTACGTAAGTAATCAGAATTTAAAAGCAATATGCGGTTCAGTTATTAGAAAAGTTAGAACTAAGTGTGATTCTGTTTTTCAACTGTAAATGTTATGAGATGTAAATAACAGATCAAGAGTTTCTAATGAAAATTTCACATCCAAATTGAAGAGTTTACAACACACTGGACTTCGAAGACTTACTGCAATAGAAAAGAATTTAAATATCATTTAAGAATAATATTTACACGTTGAAATGATAATATTTTAGATACGGTATAAATATTAAAAGTAATTTCACTTTTTTTGTTTTTGTTTACTGTGGCTACTAGGAAGTTTAAAATTAAGTAAAATTCCACTATATTTCTGTCAAAAAAGACAGTGCTGTTCTAGATCATCCAAAGCCAAAGGACAAACAACATTAAATATCCATATTTTATCAGAAAGGAGAACTAACAATTTACTAGTCTATTTTTTTTTTTTTTTTTTTGGTCTTCAGATTTGATTGGAATATTTAAGTGTAATACTTAAGAGCTTTCTCAAAAGCTCAAGTTACTTAGAATTTTTCTTTAAAAGTACTATGTTAATAGTAAGAGATCCAAATAGCTCACAAGCGGGTGAGTTTGAAAAGTAAAAGTTCCCTGTTCTTTAGTCTTACTCCCCAGAACTCTAGAACGGAGTCACTATTTACAGTGTCTTTTGCATCCAGAATTTTCTGTTTGCTTACAAGTACATATCTTTAAAAATATAAACATCCTGCTCCACCTACTGTGTTACCTGATTTTTTTCGTCTTACTCTGTTACAAACCTCTTTCCATGCTAACTCACCCTTAGACAGCTGCATGGTATCCCAGCATACTGGCTATACCCTAACTTTTCTGCCAGTCTGCTGTTGATGTGCACTGCATTGAAGGGAATGTATATATTTTAAGTTTTGATAGAAGGTGCCAAGCTTGTCCAAAAAGTCATCCCAATTTACTGTCCGTTAATTTCATGACACCTTCACTGTCTTAGTTATCTAGTGCTGCTATAACAGAAATACCACAAGTGGATGGCTTTAACAAAGAAATTTATTTCTTCACAATAAAGTAGGTTAAAAGTCCAAATTCAGGGCATCAGCTCCAGGGGAAGGCTTTCTCTCTCTCTAGGCCTTCTCATAGGTCTTCTCCCGGACTAGGACCTTTGCCGCGCAGGGACCCCAGGTCCAAAGGACGCGCTCTGCTCCTGGCACTGCTTTCTTGGTGGTATGAGGGCCCCCAACTCTGCTCGCTTCCCTTTCCTTTTATCTCTGTAAGATAAAAGGTGATGCAGGCCACACTCTAGGGAAACTCCCTTTACATAGAATCAGGGATGTGATCTTAGTAATCGTGTTAAACAATCCCACCCTAATCCTCTTTAACATAAAATTACAATCACAAAATGGAGGACAACCACACAATACTGGGAATCATGGCCTAATCAAGTTGACACATTTTTTTGGGGGGACATAATTCAATCCATGACATTCCACCCTTTGGCCCCGCAAAAATCACATCCTTGCAACATGCAAAACGTTCACCCCATCGTATCATAGCAAAAGTCTTAACTCCAAGTCCAAAATCCAAAAATTCCTCTTCATCTGTGAAATCTAGACTACAAGTTACCTGCTTCCAAAGGTACAGTGGCATAAGCTGGACATTTCCATTACAAATGGGAGAAACTGGAGGAAAAGAAGGGATAACAGGCACCAAGCAAGTCAGCAGAACACATTACATTAGCCCTCAAGGCTTCAAAAATAATCTGGTCTTTGAGACAATTTACACAATGGCCCTGCCCTCCAGACTCTAGGTATTGGCCACACACTCCAGATTCTGAATGGAGGCACCTCAGCTCTGGTCTTCAGCTCCGCCTTCCAGGCCCACTGAACAGCAACTCTGCTCCCTCGGCTTTAGGTGTACCATTCTCCTAGTCCATCTGAGTGGCGACTCCACCCTTAGAAACAACAGAGGCCATGGCTCCACCCTTTGAAACCCCAGAGGTCCTGGCCATACCTTTTGAGAGTGAGGCAGCTCAGCTTCTTTGTGTTCCTTGTCTCTTCAGCTTCTGCTTCCTAGTTTCTCGACGTCTTGGCTCCTTGGCCTCATGCCTGCAGCTACCCTGCTGGGGCCAGTGTTCCAAAGCTCTGTAGCTCCACTGACAAGTGCCTGGAGGCACCCCACTCCACCAGGAAGCCTCCTGAGCACAGGCACTCAGCTCTCTTGCTCCGTAGGATGGCAAGCCTAGCTCCACTGATAAGTGCCCAGAGGCACCCCACTCTGCCAGGAAGCCCCCTGCGCACAGGCACTCAGGTCTCTGGTTCTGTGGGTCGGCTCCAGCATTGTCTGGCACTGGTCTTTTGATTCTGCCACTGCAGGTTCTCTGCTGCTGCCAGTCCTCTGCCACTGCCACTGCTCTATCCATTCACAGTTTCAAAACCGCTTCCACATTTTAGGTATCTTTTAGAGCAGCACCCCACTCTCGGTACCAAATTCTGTCTTAGTCATCTAGTGCTGCTGTAACAGATATACCAAAAGTGGATGGCTTTAACAAAGAGATTTATTTATTCACAATAAAGTAGGCTAAAAGTCCAAATTCAGGGCATCAGCTCTGGGTGACGGCCTTCTCTCTCTGTTGGCATTCTCATCAATCTTCCCTGGACTAGGAGCTTTGCTGTGCAGGGACCCTAGGTCCAAAGGACATGCTCTGCTCCCGGCACTGCTTTCTTGGTGGTATGAGGTCCCCCTATTCTGCTTGCTGCCCTTTCCATTATCCCTTGTAAGATAAAAGGTGATGCAGGCCACACCTTGGGAAACTCCCTTTACATAGGATCAGGGATATGACCTTAGTAAGGGTGTTACAATCCCACCTTAATCCTCTTTAACATAAAATTACAATCATAAAAGGGAGGACCACCACACAATACTGGGAATCATGGCCTAATCAAGTTGACACTTTTTTTGGAGGGGACATAATTCAATCTATGACACTCACCAACTTAGCGTAACTTTTGTACTCTGGCCAGGTTGGAAGGGGTTCACATTCCTGAGCTACTGGAGTGCTTCAGTGGAAGTGTTTGAGAAGCACTAGATGGTAGAAAGGGCTTTGGAGTTGGAAAGCTTGGAATTAGGTCAGGCCTTGGCCATTTCGTGAGTCTTGAGCAAACTAATGTATTGGCTGTAGTTTCTTTATAAAGAGTGGCTGCAGGGAGTGAGCCTGGAAGGCACTTTATTTAATGGATGCCATAAACTAAAAGACCAAACCAGATGCTGTGGAGTTGACTCTTGACTCATGGCACCCCCGTGTGTGTCAGAGTAAACTGTGCTTCATGGGGTTTTCAATGGCTGGTTTTCAGAAGTAGATCACCAGGCCTTTCTTCCAAGTCCATCTTAGTTGGGAGTAAACAAATAACGAGGGCCACATGAAGTGGCACCTGTTCCTGCCTCAGTTGCTTCCCTCCTGTTGCTGAATTAGAACCAACTGGCTGTTGTGGGCAGGGCCCAAAGCCAGGCTGGAACTCGTGATGCCCCGTGTCCCGTCAGTGGCCTGGAAAAATGAGCTGCTTTTGCTGTTTGGTGCGCGGGATGCAGTATCAGATGCTGTCACAAGATGTCACCAGAAGGCCTCTGTCGAATATTAACTCCTCGTGAGAAGTTAGGTGCATTACCACAGGAAGAACGGATATCACCAACCCTTCAGCCCTAACTCAGTTTTTGTTAAGTTAGTAATGTTAATAGCGAGTGGGGATATATTTTCAAATGTATTTTTAATTAACCTTCCCAATTCATTTTTGCAAAGAGCCTAAGACCAAACTCGAGAGATAGGTTCTGAAATGAGTTCCCAAAACAGATCAGCTGGTGAAATGTTTGTGGTTTTCCAAGCTTTAAACTGGAGTTAGGATCTCTGACACTCATTCAGTACTGCAAATGCCGTTGAGATAGCGTTGTGTTTTGGGGAACACGCTATGAGGGAAACTAGCCTGTCTTTTGTATTTGGTCGGGTATGAACTTTTCCCCAGATAAACGGTTACTTGCTTTATTTTGCTCAAATGATATAAAAACTTGTAATCACAGTTTTTTATACAAGTTGAATAGATACTGTAGGAAGAGCAAAAAGGAGAGGGTTTAGTGTGTGGTATTAGAAGTTGCTTAAAGGTGTTGTTTGTTTCTTTTATTTGAGCATGTTATCCTTTGTCTTCTCTCTCCCTTTCATTTGAGGGAAGCTCTACTAAAAACCACATTTGTAAAAGGCTGCACACACTCCTGAGCTGTATTATGAGATCTTTACCTTAAAATGCATTAAAAGCTAGAGTTGTGTTGCAGTAAATGCTACAAAAAATATCTTTTAAAAAACCAAAGTGGCTGTTTAATTTTATATAATTTCAAACTGAAACTAAAGTGACTGTTGTAGGCAACTCTGCTTTGACTGATTCTTAGGGGGGAACAGTCCAGTAAGAAGAGAGTATTAATGCGGCAGTGTTTCTCTTTTCAAGGAGCCCTGGTGGCACATTGGTAAGCGTCCGGCTGATAACCAAAAGGTTGGCAGTTCGAACCCACCACTGCTCCACGGCAGAAAGATGTGGCAGTCTGCTTCTGTAAAGATTACAGTTTAGGAAATTCTATGGGGCAGTTCTCCTCTGTCCTTTAGGGTTGCTATGAGTCGGGACTGACTCCACAGCAGTGAGTTTGGTTTCTCTTTTCTGCTTTTATACAAACATTCCCTGGAGGCCAGGAGTAATTAGAAAGGTTACTGTTTCTATAGCAATGCACAGAGAGCTTACAGAGTTCCAGGGAAGACTAAACCATCTCCATTGGTGCAGACTGTGAGCTGTGGAATCACTGGTGCACATGATCACTGGCGTGTCCTTGGTGAGGGTTTGTTTCATCACGCTCCCAGCTCTGGCCAGTCCTTCTCCTGCTGCCTCTGCCTGTCCACCATAAGACAGCGTGGCAGGCATGCTTTGACTGTTTGGTCTACCGAAGTCAAAGTCCATCTTCCCTCTACTCCACCCTTGTTACACACCTCATTCTAATGGGGTGAGGGTGAGTCTTGGAAGCTTTGTCTAAAGCACTGGCTCCCCACTCCCTCTGTGATTCCATCTGTTACCATAGGTTTAAATCCCCTGCATGCTAATGACTCCCAAACTCTATTTCTAGCCTAGACCTCTCCCACTGAAGTCTAGGGTTGCATATCCACCGTATGCATGTCACTATACCGGGTGTCTTGTATTCTGTGGTATACCAAGAAACACTGTTGCCTGAATGCTATGATACAAAATAAGATACATCATATGCTGGAATCTAGTATAGGAAAGCAGTAAGAAGCATCAGGTTTAAGATGAAGTTTGTAGGAAGAAAGACAAGTGTAGAAAATTGTGTCACTTTGATTTTTGCTCTAAATTAGAAAAACTAGATTTATTCAGTCCAAAGGCCAGAGAGCCTTGGGAGCTGGTCAGGAGTATTTTGCAAGAGTTGGGCTTGAGCGGCAGTGGTTCAAGTTCTTGTTAAAACTGCTGATAATATGGCAGACCCACCATGCTTCCTGATGTTTACTTATTTAAACTTCAAGCCAGAGCAGGATCATTTGTAATTTGATTTTTATAATTCTCAAAAAAGTAGTAAAGTCTGTTTCAATACGCATTTGCTTTTAAAAGCATAAACTCCATCCAGAATGGTGCCATTATATATAAAACTGCTTCTTCTGTATCCAAAAGGACTATTTTGTGATAATTAATAGAAATATAGCAAAAAAATTTTTGCTCGATCTCCTGTTTTGAACATTGTTATTTCTATAGCCGCATTATTATATGGTTTACAGTTATGAAAACAGGTACTAGACTTCCATTTGGCAACTATAAAGGCATCAGGGTGGCTGTGGAAACCTTGGAGGAATCTGAATAATTACAAACGCTTTACTCTCTTGAGACTTGAAACAAAATAGATACTAGCACGATCTTACCCACATTTCACAAAGATCATTCTGGTTGTTGTGTGAGGTGGAGGATGGCTTAGAGAGGCAAAAGTGGAAGTGAGGAGACCACTTACAGAGACCACAATCTCTGGGTGAGAGATTACGGGGCCTAGGCCCCCCTAGAGGGGTGGCAGAAGGAATGTAAAGTAGTGGATTCATTTGAGATCTTTGTTGTTAAATTACCAGTATGTGCAGGGCACAGAAATGAATAGGATGATGCCTAGCCTTTCTTGGTACCACTTACTG